AGAAACTAAACTGTCAGCTCCAGCTAGTCTGGGCATATAGCCCTATTCCCTCAGGGAGAAGTCTTCAGTGCCTTTGTAAGGAGCCATCTGGATATGTCTGGCCTCCTCCCTTCTGAGCTGGGTTGCTGCCTTTTAAACCCTGTCTCCAGTTGGAGCATGCTCTGCAGGGCTGGAGGGGCGGAGCAACCTGGGTCCAGTACTGTGCTTCAACCCCCTCCAGTCCAGTGTGGAGTTTGTTTATCCCATCACAGTCACCTTGCTACATGCAAAAGATGATATATAATTGTTAGGCAACTGGTGTACTAAGACCACTGCTTTACATGCTGATCAGTTTGATCTGGTTGTTTCCTTGTGCTCCCCATCTGTCTCTTGTATCTCTTGTTGTCTCTGGTCTTAGACTTACAATGTAATCTCCCGAGGCAAAGACTGTTTTATTGTGTGTTTGTAAAGCACCAAGCACAAGGAGGTCCTGGTCTGTGGTTGGGGTCCCTAGGCACTGTGGCAATAAATAATATAAATAAAATAAAATGTGTTTACCATGTATGTTAGTAACTGATATTATAGCCAAGAAATATATGATTTTTTGAGCCTCTCATTCTCATTTTGTTGCTGAACTAACATAGTAAAATAGACAGCACATTAAGCCTAATTTTTAGGACATTTCAGTGAATGTGCTTTGTTTTTACCTTTATGGATCTTTACATTCCATCTTGAATGTTTTTAAATCACTAAATTTGTTTCTTGCCACTGCTTTCCCAAGGATGTTAACTAAAACTATGTACCCTAACAGATAACATAAGCCTGTTCTTGACAGAAGTTGGTGGAGTTAGAACAGGGATGAATAAAGCTTATTAAATATAACTTATATAAAGGTTGTTCTGCAGTTACTGTGATTTTCTTCATGTCATTATAAAAGATGGACCTGAAAAGGTATGTCATGTGTTAACAGCAAGCTAATATAGAAAAAGAACAATTCAGGCATATAAAGATGTGATAATCTAGAAAAATAGCCATGTTAGAAATGGGTTTACAACTTGAATGGTCAATGTAAACAAGACATAGTTAAAGCCACATTAGTCCTTCTACTAAGGTCCATACTCCCAAAAATGAGGATTTAGAGCATTTAGAGAGAGGATTCCAGAGTACCAAGCTCCATTCAAATCTTTAAGCACTAAACTTTTTTCATTGTGCATAGCTGCCTGCCGCGTCTGGACCCGCGGTAAGTTCTGAATAAGATACTTCGAATTCAGCTACGTTATTAACGTAGCTGAATTTGCGTACCTTAGTTCGAAGTGGGGGGTTAGTGTGGACCAGGCCTTAGAAAATTTCTGTTGACTGGCAATGTGGACCCTTGATCTGGCTTTCTCTGGGAAGAGTAGCAGCAGTGTGGAGTGAGGAGAGAAGAAAAACCTTTCAGCACACAAAATTATATGTGCTGAAGTCCATCACTTTCAAGAGTCCCTGTGCATGTGAAGCCTTTTCCTGCACAAACTCACTCATATATTATATTTTAAATGCTACAACTTCAACATTTAAAATTTTACATGCCAGTATTTTTGACAGGGAGCTAATCAGTAATGATGAAAAATACTGATTATTTTATTTTCAATTTTTTTTTAAATGTGGCCTTCACATACGGAATTTTAAATAGTGTGAAATATTAAAAGCAAGAATTTTTTTAGTCTTCGAAGACTAAAAATATTAGACATTTTGTCCTAATTTCAAGTTTTTTAAAATCCGATAATGAAAAAGAGTTTGAACAATCAACAAAATTAACCCGAGAATAATCGTTAGTTTTGAGGACAAAGGAATGTTTCTGTTTAAAGTTGTTTTTTGTTTCTTTGGTTAGGTCAGTATAGAGCTTCTAATGGAACTCTAGTTGTAACTATGTGTGTGTTGTGTATTTACAATATATAGATAGATAAATATAATATTATTCTATTTATTTGCTATCCAACTTTTTTGATCAGTTTTCAGACAAATCAGTTTCATGGTTTTCATAGAGTTCATTGAAGCACCTATGCTCTATAAAGAGAAAAAATGTAGTGTAAAATAGAGAATTGGAATGGGTTGAGGCAAAAAGAGAACAGAAACAAGTATCAATCCAAACTCCATGACCTCACCGCACCTTAAGCCGGGGAGGGAGGGTGGAGAGGGGCGTTGTCTGGCTTGCCCGAGGAAGGGTATACTTCATTAAGAGGTAGAGAAGCATGGATCAGAGCGGATCAGTGTGGGTATGATGATTCGTCCCCCCAGGTGACCTGACCAGAAGGGAGGGGAGAGTATATAGGGGTAAGCCGGGCAGTAAAAGCCCCCTCTCGCCCACCATCTTATGACCCAAATTCATGGGGGGTCATAAGGGAGTCAATAATTTTTCATCCTGACATAGCATATGGGGTACCTGAATTATTCAGGGAGAATGGAGTTCACCTGTCAGATTTGGAGATGGACACATTTTTGGTCGATATTATAAGAGGCATTAGGAGATGTCTGGGAACCCAGCTGTGGGAGGCAGCCAAGCTAATAGCTGGCACCTCCTTGTGGGGAATGTCCAGTGCAGGTACTCCATAGGAAAGCGATACAGTGATCAGATAAATGGATTGGTAAAAGATTTAAAGTCGGTGTTTGTTAAAGGAGTGGAAATGGGGAAGGGGGGGGTTGAACTCCCTTGACTGGCATGGCAGGGAGCCAACTGCCCCACAACCATTTATAGTCCACCTTAACCCTCATTCAGACAAGGGCATGGAAAGATCCTGGCAGTGGATTGGCTAGGAATCAGGATGGAAAAGGGGAGGGGGGCTAATGAATGCCCTCTACTCCCCCCTCAGAGAGATAGTGAAACGATCATAGATTTACTTGCACTGTACTTTTTTATCTGCTGGGTACTCCCAGACAGTTAATAATAAAGTTGTGGCCTAATTAAACATATCCAGTGTCTCCTGTCATTCTCCCAGTACAACCATATAACTAGATAAACACTGAGCCTTTTTACGCCAAGCTTCCCAAACATCTTTTATGGCACATGACAAATAAAGCTCAATCAATCCTGCAATAATTAATGTACTAAAATCAATTAAAATAAGTGGTTTTGACAGATCAGTTTGTAAGTCTGTTCTAAAGCAATGTGATGGTAGGAGCTTTCCTGATGGGAAATATCAATTGTCCAGTGTGCTACCACACTTTGGATTGGACATAGGTTCAGCCTTATTTAATAGCTTCATTAACAATATTAAGCAGGACTACACAGCATGTTAATGAAATCATCAGATGATGTAAACAGCAGGGAGCACAGAAAATACAAGATACTTAAAGATTAGAAACATGGGCAAAAAAGTAATATTATATTTCAGTTGGGAAAATGGAAGGGAATGCATCTGGGATAAATTAATCCAAAGCAGATATACATATATACTGGAAAACAGTAATCCTGAAAGACACCTGTGGGTGATACAGGGCAGTAAATTTGCAATTCAGTATGGTAGCAAAAAGGCCTATGCAATATTTGGAAGCATGTGCAGATGGATCGTGCAACAGAACAGGGAGGATATTGTCGTCTTTTACATGAATAGGTGAATTGGAAGGAGTTCAAAGATGAGCAAACAGAATTCAGGAGTTAAGGAGATTGACTTATGAGGAAAGATTGAAAGAGCTAAATGTACATGGTTTGGTTAAATAATCAATGGGAACGGAGGGAATAAAACAGTCTACACCCTTGAAATATTTGTAAACTTCCAAGAGGTAGGTGAGTTATGCAGGGTGTGAGAGGATGAATCTCTCAGCAAAGCATCAGCAAAAAATTATATCAAAGAAAATACAGCCAAGATACAAACTACTTACTAGTGCAGACGTCCCCAAACTGTGCGGCACACCCCACTAGGGGGACACAGAGGAACATTTGGCAGTGCATGACGGGGCCCGGGCCAGTCCTCACAGGGAGTGGGGAGGGAGCACCACCCAGCCCTGCTCTGTCCCCAGCTCCGCTCCAGCCCTGGCCCTAGCCCCAGCCTCAGCTGCCGTTCCAGGCACCAGGCCCCAGACCTGCCTCCATTTGCAGCCCCGGCCCCTTACCCCTGTCCGCAACCCCCCCATCCCCCTTCCTGGCCCTGGCTCCTGGGGGCGGAAGGGGGACGGACAGAGGTAAGGGGGGACATGACTGGGAAAAGTTTGGGGGCCACTGTCCTAGTGCAAGGAGTTATCTGCTAGTTTACAGCACAAACAGGCTACAGTGCTTGAACCCTATAGGGTGCTGAGCTGCTCCTGGAAATGGCGAATGGCTTCAACTCCCTCCGACATGACTGGGAGTTGCAGGCACCTGACACACCCTGGAGCTTCCCAGAATCTTGCAGCACTGAGCTCATGAACTGCTAGCTTCCCACTAGGTCCAGGCTTCTGCCTGTTGGAGGGGAGACATTTCCAAAGTGTTCCACACAGTCCTCTCACTACTCACTATCTCAGACTCAAATGAATTAAATCTCCCTTTCTACTCATCTCCTCCTCTTCCAGTAACTCACGTGCTGCAGAAAGATTAGACAACTCCCCGCCAACTCCGAAAGGTCATTTTCAACCTGTTATCAAACGACTTGTTAAACTCATACAAAAACATGACTTGTTAAACTCATACAAAAACATGACTTGTAACCTGTATGACTGGGTCAAGACTGGGATCACATTCTAGCATCTGCTAGAATCCCAGCTGGTGCTTCCCACTCCAGTTCCAGCTGGAAATGGGGCCCACACTGGAATTGTGGTATCTGAGGTTCAGATTCACATCTGAACTTTAGGATTCAGCCCCATTTCTAGCTGCAGCCTTCTAAACTGGAATGCCTACAGATAAAACAGTGAAATAACCTTTCAGTGGTAGTCTGGAATAAAATAAACAGGGTGGTTAAACTCCAAGCAGTTTGGGGCAGTTCCCACAAATGCATCAATCATGATGAGGAGCTCAGTTCTCTAATTAAAAACAAATTGTATCAAATATTTTTCAGCTTTGTCCTCTCAAATTAAAGCTTAAAAACCTCCCGGGAAGGAAAGGAGGCCAGATTGGAGGGGGAGGAGGTGAGAGGAAGGAAGTGGGTGGAGAAAACCACTATATTCCCAAGATGCAAAGAAAATGGAAAAATAGAAGAAAAAATATATTAAATCACTGTAAACTAAGAGGTAAGTTTCAGGGTTTTTTTTACATTTTATTTACACTTTGTGGGGCTATTTTTAATGGTGCTTTTAAAAAACACACACACACTAAGTGTGTGGTATCCATTTATTATTTTGCCTATTGCTGCTCTAGGCCTAGTTTATATTTCCAGCAAGACTTTTCAGGGTGTGTGTGGTGGTGAGATATCCAGACATGTCTTGCTCTTTATGTGCTAAGCCTTCTATCTCATGCTCAATGAGCAGCATGAAGTGAAGGGATATCCCATTGTGACACACACACACAGCGTTGTGTCTTAGAGTTAAGCAATGGAAATAGATTGTTTAGGCAGCTTTAATGGGCCTTGTTCTCCTATTACTTATACCAGCATAATTCAACGGAGTACCAATGCACGTCAGGAGAAACCGCATGGAAATTAATAGACAAGCACTGGAGTCATTTGGAGGAGAGTCAGGCCCACTAGTCAAGATCAGATATGTCTTTATATACCAATGATTTTTATTGTAAGCTGCCACAGGTATTGTATAAATCCTTTGAAGGTTTGATTGGAGACCACCAACAGCTGTGTAGTACAGACTGGTGCATTTAAAAGCTTGTTTGTTACTGGAATGTTTATTGCTACTCTGCCAGGAGGCTGCAAAAGCAGCAGCTGAATAAAAATATTGCTGACTAATAAGATTGTGCATGTGTTGTAAATATCACATGGGGTTACAAGTGAAACTGAAGATTTTGTCCAAGATGAATTTAGAAAGGAAGGAAGCAGGAATCTGGAAAAAGTGGATACAAATTTTCTGTTATATACAGATGCACCAGTATCTAAATTGGGGGAAAAACACAAACAAGCAAACCCAAAACAAACAACCCCCACCCCCACAACCCTGCAGTACTTAATACTTTTTAATGGATTGGGCTGGAGAACAGGCCCAGGAGATTTACAGCATCTTCATATTTGAAGATGGGGAAATGGACAGAATTGATGTTTTGATCAGTGTTTGAGGTTCACTGCATACATATAACATTATTACAATCTACTGTTGCCTGCTCTCACTGTTTAGACTTCCTTAGCTTTTCAAAAAGTTTTTTCTTTTTTTCTTTTCAGAATTGAACTGGATGCTTAAATATTTCTACAGCTGCCAGTTAAATAAAAGTGTGCCTAACAGCTGTGCCCTTCGGAATTGATACATTATGGATCAAGACTTTCAAAGCCATATATTTGTACTATTTGAACTACATATATTTTTATTCAGGCACGTCCTGAGCATTTAGTGATGCAGGGCCCAGTTCTGCTCCCATTGAAATCAATTATCAAAACTCCCATTGGTTTCAATAGGAACACCATTGGTCTCCAAGTGAATAGAAATTGAGAACTGTGATGCAGTTGAATTTGCATGATTTTTTGTACATAAATGTAGATAGTTCCTGTTCCCACTCTCCCTGCAATCCTCCTTCCTGGCGGGGAGTGGGGGGGAGAAATTAAAGATCAAAGATGTTACTAAGTGGCAATGGGGTGAGGAGAGATGATTCTGGTGGTGCACGAATATAGAAGGGAAGAGGGAGATCTGCATGCTGGTGGGCATGGCTGAGCAGCAGGAGGTGCTGAAGAGTGGGAAGGGGCACTGGGAAGAGCAGGTGGTACTAAGGAGTGGGCAGGAACACTCAGAAGAGCTGCTGGCAGGCAGCATTTGCAGCTCTGTTGGTTGAAAAGCAGAGTGACAGCTGTGCCCTTCCGTCATGCGATAGAGGCAGCTGTGTGCCATGAAAGGGGTGGTGAAGTCGGGCTGGAGTGTCCACACGTTCAAATACATTGAGGTTCAACTTTTCAATGATGTTTAAGTTCTTATTAAAAGCAATGGTATTTTAGCATCTAAATCCCCTAGGCAGCCTTGCAAATTCCAGCCTAAAGTGACGCATCAGAAATAAAAGTTTAAGTAGAAACCTTTGAAGGTCAAAATAGACAGCTGCATCCAGACTTCTTAGTCATCTGTATTTTGTTCTGTACAGAATAACAAAAGGCATTAATCCCAAGCACTTGTAGCCTTGCCCAGATATTTAAAATACAGTCTCTTTAATAAATTATACATCCAGCAATTTCGGCCTAACTCCCATAGCCAGAAATATCCAGCCAAGGAATTGAACACAGATACACCCATCCCATCACACACCTTCTCTTTGTTGTTCTCTCTCCTCCCATGGAACTGATGAGTTTTGCAGCATTCTCTAAGGTCAATACATTGAGGTTATTGTAGACGAAGGTTAGAGGACGATGTTCTAAAGCTGAGGGGCCCAGACAGAGAATTCCCTGCCAGCAGCTCTCCAGCGCAGGCACCTCTGCTGACTGCAAATTCCATCAGTATGGAACTGTGAGAAAGGCAGTGCCTCAAATGGGCCCCTAGCCACTGAGATTAAAAATCTAATACTTTAAAGTTCACCTGGAAATCAACAGCAGCCACCCGAGATTGTGGTGCATTGGGGTTCACACCACTTACCAAGCATGCTGTGCCATCTTCAGTTTACAGATGAATTTAAGATGTGCACCATGAAGCAGTCCAGTCTTAAACAGTGGATGGTGGCAGAGAGATCCACACCTGAAAGAGATGCTTGCAACCTCCTGACTATGGCTGCTGCTAGTAACAGCAGGTGGGAATCTAGCCAAACCCACAGCAAATCTGAACCACAAGCAGAGGCAGATCCAGAGTTGTCAACCTCAGGAGACCAAAAAAAGGGAGAGGTGGCCACATGCATTGCATAACTTCTCCCTTGCCTAAATCCATTAAATCCCCCTCTTCTCTTTCATGGGGTGAAAGTGAAGTGAAGAGAATCTCCTTACCAGGCACTCATCTATTACCTTTCACACACCCATGATGCTCAGCTTACTCAATTCCCACCCCCACCACTCAGGCTAGGTAATAGGTGAATGTGAACAAGAGAGGAGGAAGTTGGAAGTAAAGAGTCAATGAAGGGGATGTCACCCTCAATGGAAGAGGGATACCTCCTACAGTTACTGCCACTCTCTGCCAGACAGTAGTCAACACGTAACCAAGGGTAGGAAGGCTCACACCGACCAATACTGAATCAAGATACAGAAAGCAACTTCTCACTTCTCATAATCCTCTGGCCCCTTCCGAGGTACATCCCTAGCCCAGAGTACTTCCAACCAAACGGGAAAACCCCCCAAAAAACTCACACACACTCTTCCACAATTACCAGAGGGTACTGGGCGGAGTGCCTGTCAGGGTATTCCTACACTGCAGCTGTGGGCATGAATGGCAGCTTGTGTAGACATACCTATGCTAGCTGCACTCTAGCTAGCTTGCTAGAAATAGAAGCAAGGCTGCTGAGGCACGGGCTTCAGTAGGGGCTGCACAAGCAAGTACTTACCGGGTTAGGTGGGCTTGTGCATCCCGCGCTGAAGCCCGCATACAACATCCTATATTTTACTTTTAGTGAGCTAGCTAGACTACAGCTAGTGTGAGTATGTCTATATGAGATGCCAGTCACACCACCAGCTGCAATGTACATGTGCTCTCAGTGTCAGAGATTGGGATTGATCCCCATCCACAAGGGGATCAATCCCATCCCCTGGCTGTTCCAGGAAGCTGGGACTGAACTGCACTGGTGCAGTGGCTGCTAGATGCCTGTAAAGTAGTGGGTGAGGCAGCTGTTTCTTATGCCCCGTTACGGCTATAGATGGTTGTAAAATCACTCCCCTATAGTTACAACACAGTTAATTTTTTAAAATGTATTTTAATAAACAATTATTTAAAACAAGTATTTCTATAGAGCAGAACTAGCTTACAAATTAAAACCAGTCCAATATTCCCTTTTCAATTTTATAGATAGTGTTCAGTAACCATTTTAGGCATGGTATGTGCATAAGTTCAAATGAGTTTCCCAGTTTAAAAATTACTCTACCCGTGAGCAAACCTAGGGGGATGTTCTGGAGTTAGGAGAAAGTGCAGCTGTCTATTTTACTTCCTGGCTAAATCTGAATGAATGGGGGGAAAACACTGAAGAACATTTAAGTCTGTTAAGAGAATATACTGAAAGTGACAAGGGAATTATTTGAAATACATTATTGCTTTTTAAAGAATAATTGTATTTAGCAAGTCCATTTATTAGTGATGAGTTTTAGCAGTGTTTTCAGATAGGTGGAGCCTATTTTCTCAATAGATTAAATTAAAAGACATTACAACTCTGTTTTGGATAATATCTTACATGCATCCGAAAAGAGTTAAATACTTAGACTTTGTCATATTAGTATTATTATTAATTATTTGTATTACCATAGCACCTGGGATCCCCACTCATGGACCAAGACCCTGTTGTGCTAGTCTCTCGACAAACAAAAAGACAGTCCCTGCCCCAAGGAGCTTACAGTCTGAGTTACGCATGTATGCAAAGTACCTGGCACAAATACATTGTATTGGGGCCTCTGGTTGCTATTGACATAATAACTAAGGGTGAGATTATATCCTGAACTGCATGATCATTTAAAGGTGTACGGTTGAGTGAGTCTCCTCCACACCCATCTTTGGATTCCTCAGACCACTCTGGGCATGTAGGGGTAAAACAGCAATATGCATCCCTGAATTCCCCCCTGAAGCGGATGTGTAGGGTGTAGACAGACAGGCATGGGTAGATGGAGAACTTTGGCTCTGCTCTCCAATGCTCCTGCCATCATAGCTGTGCCAGCACAGGGGCCAGGGAAGGAATCTGGTACTGGTATGAGCCAGCAGCACCTTATTACTCCCCCGGAGCAAGGAAGGAATTGTGACTTTGAGGTATGTTTCCTTGACGGAAGGATGGCTATCCACCACCTTTTATGCGGGGGACGCAGTCTACCCCACGAAAAGGGAAACTATAAAGTGAAAGCAGTAGAAGAGTAAATGTTTACTTTGTGAATACAACTGTTCTGCACTATTATTTAAGAGTCCTATAAATAGATTAATGTAGTAGCCCTCCTAGCATCTTTTAGCCCTATGATGATTTCCATAACATATTCACAGGA